CCTGGTAATAGAGGTGGGCCAGTCACGCTGCGCTCCTCACTGCAATGTGCCATGTTAGCTGGAGCCACATGCTTCCAGGCAGCAGCACCTGAGCCAGGCATGAGTGCCCCCGCCTGCTGCTGCTCCTGCTGGTGAGGCCTGTGCCCCGTAGGGGGGACTGTTTGGGGGGGGGTCCCCATGTACCCCACCCTCCCTCACACCCACACCCTGCCCACCTGAGCTCTGTGCTGCTGCTGTCCCCCTGGGCCTGGGCTCTGAGTTCCCGCCAGCCCCATGCTCCATGCTCTCACCCACCTGCAGTTCCCCGCCGCCACTTCCCTACCTGCTGCCTGGAGCAAGTGGGACGCCGGGAAGTGGAGAGGGTCCCCTGGAAGCTGCGTGCTAGTTAGGCTGGGCCCTTCCACCCATGGGGGTGTAAGTGAAGCACAACAGGCTATGCTGGGGGTGGTGGGGGTGTATATGTGGTCCCAGCTGGGTGGGGTACAATTAACTGGTGGGCACTGCAAGCCGGATGGAAGTGCCTAGCAGGCCTGTGGGCTGTATTTTGCCTGCCCCCGAGGTAAGGGATTATATAGAGACTAGCAGTCAGATGGAATGTGTAAATCCCAGTGCAGTTGTCCTAAACAAATACAAGGTATACCTGGGTATAGCTATTTGAATGACTCAGAGTTAAAAAAAAAAATTCTTGTTGTGTACTCTATTTTTCAATCAAATGCATCATCCATGATGCATTAGTATCTTGGAAAGAAATAAATGATTTAGAGAAAGGTATCAGGCCCTAATTCACTTTAATCTGGGACAATTTCAGGTCTTGAAAAGCTACCCCAGTATATAGATTGTACATAGGTTATTACGTAAGGTGGGAATCAGCTTGGGAGAGGGGCAGTTTAGCTATCCCCCATGGTAATGGAAGAGTGGCCTAGGAACAAACTCAAGGGAATCCCATTAGGGAAAAACAGGTAGACCTTATAAGAATCTAATCCTGATGTATTTAGATGGGCTTAAAAATGTCATAGGCAAGACCCAGATAAGACCACTCTTCTGCAGTGACTCTTCTGGGGTTCCCTGCTGAAGATATGCTAGACATGGGTGAGGCTTAAAGGCATCCAAATTAAGTCAATTTGGGGGCCTTGTTGGGTCCCCATGCTCCTAGAAGACTCTTTTTTCTTGTCCAATACAGGCTTAAGAAAGTATCTGGAGAAAAGAGAGGATGTGGCGATAGAGGCAGATCAGACTTTTTCCACTTAGGCTACCCGATGGGAAAGACTGTTCTTCTTCTCGTGTCCTTGCCATAAACTAGATGTTTTTCCAAAATTGTGCACAAATGATGGCTCTTTTCACTCTGTCCAACAGCGTGACATTGTTCACAAAACTCTTGTGCTTTATGCCATTTAGTTACTTCTGTGTGACCATAGAGTGGTTCTTCCATCTGCCTTGATCTTTCTTTTTGGCTCTCTATCTTTCTTCTGATATCAGGTGGTACAATCTCAGTCAGTAAATACAGGCTATCCTTTAATGTTGGCTTTAGACATCCTGTTATTTCACAACCGCTGTTGTTTAGAACTGGGTCTAAAGACTGTAGAAGAAAGGAATTTCCATGGAGGAGGACCAGCAAGGCTACAAAGACCTTACAAAACTAACTTATTGGTCCCCAAATGGAAAGAGGAAGAATGAAAAGGAAACAAAGATCCCTTACTTTCATCTTAATCCAGAATCCTCCTCTCTGACATCAGATCAGAGGCAGTTACTAGTCTTGTTCAGTAATTTATTCATCTACTCTTCATCTTCTATTCTTGCTGTTGGCTGCAACAATTTTATACAGGTATAGGCACAGTAGGCAAACCAGCTGTATTGTTTGGAACAGGTGAGTTAAACAAAGCTTTACTCTTCTGCTAACATTTTCTGCTTCTGTTTTGGGATAAATCCATAGGTTAGATAGCTAAAGTAAGTTGGAACAGGCACAGAAACCTCATTCATGGGCCCCTGCTGCCTATGTGTTAGGAAACAAGTAACGACCCAGAGCATAACTTCTTCAGCACTCCCTGTCTCTCAGATGAAAAGAAACCTCAAATGTCCATGAGGACAGAAATCATATCCCAGAAAAGGTAAAATATAGATATCAACTAGAGAACTGAACTACTGACTTATTTGTTAAATACACCTGGTTGTGAAGTGTATTATGAAGTTTTGCTCTTTGAATTTTTTTTGTATAGTTTAAGATTATATTTGAATAAAAAAAGTATTGCATTTCTGAAACTGTTGCCCTCATAAGTGTGTGGACAACTTATGTGCGTGCCTTCATTCATCTTAATGAAATGTTAACTCTAGATCTGCATTTCTGGCACTCTTTGCTTTCCTTCTGCTCTTCAAAACTGTTAAGTAACTAGGACTGATAGAAAACATTAAGCTCCTTGTCCTGCCAAAATCTTTATGTATTCTGAGAATGGTCAGCAGGTGTGAAAATGATTTTGGGTACAGACCTACTTGACATATCAAGGCTTGAGATTTGTTATGTGATCAGCCACAAAACATGTACTGAATGGAAATCACTTTTACCAGATTTCCGCTGCATGGTCTGCATGATGCAAATGAGTCATTTTCAAGTCATTTCAAAAGTCTATTTATTGAATATTACTAAAATGATAGTGCCACTATTATTTACAGATGACTCAAAATGACTCTACTTCAGCTGATATAACCCAGTTGCTGGTCATGATGGCAGAAAGTCCATCCAAAGGTGGGGATGGATCTCAGTGATGCAAATGTCCACAACCTTTACTACCTTAGCGGGCTCAGAGCTGATTAATGTTCCCTTAAAAGCTGAGAGTTATATCAAGGGCCGATAAAAAAATATACTAGTTCTGTATGTCCCTTTCCAGCTTGGACCAACTAGGGTTTTATGGAGTCCTGACTGCAGCTAAGCTGACCTCCCCTAACAGAAGCTTTAACTCTTAACTCTTCATAAATGGATTTTGTGTGGGCAGTTAAACAAAGCAGTTTGTATGTCAGGTTGTCAGGATTAACAGAAAAGGCCTTCACCAAGCAAGCATTTCAATTTTAGAGACTCAAACTTGTCTTGAGAAGTTCTGATTAAGGGGGACAGAAAAAGATGGATTTGGTAAAATATTTCTGATGAAAATAAAGCTTGTTTTGTTCTAAAGATAGAAGGGAATCATATATTTTTTAGAAATATAAATGTAAAACATGTGCATTCGACAATTCATAACCAGCTGCCAACTGTACAAAAACATTCCATGTTAATAGACAAATAGATACCTATTAATTTATTACTGTACTCCATGCTTTAATTTTTTGCCCCTTAACCTGTTGAGTTTTCTAAGACATGTTCTGAGTATTTCAAAACCAGCAGTTAATGAACTAGTGTTTTTTTAAATTTCAATTTTCTGATAGAGTATACATCTAAGCCTTGACTGTGTCTTCCCACCCATTTTTTGGCATATGAATTACTTTTTGTTTTCTTATAAGCACAATAAAGATGCTAGCAGAAAATGCTGCAATGTATTTGTGCTAAAATATTTGGCTATTTGTAGCCTATAATGTACTACAACCATTTTTTAAAAATATATTTTTTTGTCTAATCATGTTCCAGTTACAAAGCAGAACAAAAACAAACCAAACCCCCACCCAAAACCACCCCCAGCAAATGCAACTGATTTAGAATTGGGAAGAACTACTGTAGGTTTTACGTTCTATACAATCTCATATTCATGTACAGTCAGAACTCCCACAGACCTAGGAAGAGATTTGTACGTGCAAGGAGTCAAGGAACAGGGCCCTTAAGATTCAGCCATCAACTAGGAATATACAGTTTAACTTCACAGCAGACAGACAATAGACAAGTAGTACAATTAATTTTATCAAACCATTCTACATGGCATGATTTCACAATATTGCATTTGAAGCCACTGCAAAATCATTTGGGGGTGGGGCCAAAAATCTTATTACTGAAGAAAAGAAAACTGATCTCTAGATACAAGGGAAAAAAAACCCTGCCTCCTCTCGTTTCACAAAATAGCAAGAGGCTGTGAGATCATGTCTGTTCCAGTCAATAGGTCGCGCAATACTACATTATTTAAATAAATATAATGTAATGATCTCCATCTAAACTGCTCCTACTCAGATAAAAGAAAAGAAAAAGATACAATAGATCAAATCTTGCCCCACCTTTCTTCCCCCCACCCCTTCTCTTAGTGAAACGGGCATAAATTGTTTAGGAGCACCACAGCGCCACCAACACAGATCAATGCAAAACAAAAAAGATCTCCCACCGTGTGAAAAAAATGCGCCTAGAAAAATGCCAAAAATTACAAAATGTCTCCCAAATGTACCTTCTGAGAGAAAAGCAAGGCTTTTATAATGAAATGTGGCTAAATAGGAGCCTTTAGATAAATAAAGGCTTTAGGCTTACTTTCATAGGAGAGAGCTGATCTGCAAATAAAAGGCCACTGTTTAGTAACAGACATAACTTAATATAAACCCTGTTATGTCAATCTCCACCTTCATTATACCAAAGGCAGTTTTTTTCCTGTAGTTTGAACCAAAGTAATCCATCATGAGCTACCAGAAATGACATTATAAACTCCCTTGGCTACAATCTCAATAAACATCTTATGGGAAGACATCTCCATGCAGATTAGACAATGCATTACATTTATAAAGAGTAAAACATTTTTAGATAAATATAGCTATCACTCGCTACAAAACAAACCATCTTGAAAATATGAGAGTTCTTCCCCCTGAAACAATCCTTTAAGTGCAGTTTAAGCTTCGATGTATTAATTTTTCAAGACGGAAACAAAAACTGTTTTCTAATTGTCGAAATTAACAAGCCAGTGTTGGGTGGAATAGGCACGAGATCAAAGCTGGAGAAAAAATACAAAGACTACGTTGTGCTCAATAACCTCTCGCCAATCCTTTACACAGGGGGCATCTCGCAAAAAGGGAGCAAGAAATAGAGGTTTAAAAAATCCCAAACTTACCTTTAGAGAAGGCACGGGGGATAGTTCTTGCAAAATGACTGTAACAATATAGGCTGTGGACTTGTTCCCCTACAAACAGCCATCTCAATGCAGCACAGGGATCTCCAAACATCTTCCAAATATTTCGGAAATCAGAACTGGGACTTTCTGCCATGGTCTCTGGTTGAATTAGGAGGTTTTCCTGAGGATCTGGGGGCGTTTGGAGAAATCGGAGAAATATCCAAAGAAGATTAAAAGCAGAGACAGCAGGAGCCAGAAGACTCTGGGGTTAACAACTTTGTAATGGCAAACAGGCGCGCGCTGATTGGCTGGGAGGGCAGTGTCCCTCCAGTCTGCACTATCCCCCGCGCTCCCCCTCTGCAGCCTGGAAAAAAAATGCAGTGTGCCATTTTACACTCGGCTTGAAACACACGCACAAATACACACACACACCCAGGCGACCAAAGTCTAGCCCCGATCTTTAGTGACGCTGCAGACCAGCAGCCCGTCCAGATCCTTTATTCCTCCATCAGCAAGGACGTCTGTGCAGGGAAAGCAAGGCACAAAAAAGATCTGGGGCTTTACCATTATTTTGCCGAAATCCCTCAAGCGAGTTTGTGCGAACAGCCGCGCTGCTGAAAGCTCGTTACACCTCCCTGTCATGCCAGGGGGAAGGCGCCCGGGCTGAGCGATGTAACGAGATTACAGCATCCAAAAGAGCCAGTCATGCCTGAAAGCACATCTGTGCCTCCTTGATGTAGAAAGCCTTCAATCCAAGAAAATACTCCATTTATTGACCGATCTCAATACCTACCCGACCAAACAACTAAATTAATGTTATTTTCAACAGACACACCCGTTGTGGCAGGAGGAGTTTTTTCCATAAATGCTGGTTTAAAAACCCCTCCTCGCACTGACTGACAGAATTCAACCATGCTGCCCACAAACAAAATGGCTGTGGCACCGAGTTTGCCGGATCCTCCCACTGTGCCTCCCCCTGGCCTCCAGGAAGTGGTCGAAATCCCAAATAAAATTAGTAGGAAAAGTACAATGCCCGGTCTCCGCTCCGCACGAGCCTATTAGGCGTCGGAGACGGTGAGGCATCTTTACAAATCTTGGACTTTCTCAGGGATTTTTCTTGCTTTAGAGCCGGCATCAATCACTGGAAATGTACATGACTATGTAATTTGAACTTCCTGCTTTACATATTTATAAGGTCCTTCACCTATCTTGGCAGGCTTTCAAATTAAGTGGGTTGGGAAATTCGATGCCGTGTGTCTAGTTTGTGAGCTGAGTCAGGTACTCGCTGGCTTCAGCTCTGCTTTTAAAATGAAGGCAATATTTAATGCAAAATCCTGAACAACAACATTCAGTGGAAAAGAACATATCCCTCTTAATTTATTCAGATATTATGAGTGAGAATTTAAACACAGAAAGGCAAGATGTTCAAATGTATGGTTCACACAAGAATGACGTGCAGGCCTCTTGTGTAAAAATATATTTTGTAACATTAAAAATTTTTTTATGGCTTATATGCAAGGTTGCTGAGTTATGGTTTCTGTGGAAATAACACTACATTTTGACTGACTTTATTATGTCTTTTCTGTTTTTCTGTCATTATTCATAGGTTTTTTGGTATTAATTTCTTTTAAAAAAAAAGGAGATATTGCATATTCTAATGACATTTGCTCATTAAAAGTCAAATATATATTCCTCAGTTGAGCCACCTGCCTATGTGACACCAGCACTGTTCTTGCACACAATTCCTGGGGATCCATAGGCTCTTATTCAGTTTTCTGTGGAGTCTTTTTGTTGAGCTGGGTGGGAATTAAATTGGAGACCAGAGGAGACAGGCTGCCAGATATGCTCAGCTTGATCCAGTGTCATATTAGAAGTTATGAATCAAGACACCTATTCCTTGCTACTCTGATCCTTTTTAAGAGGCAATGGTGATTTTTTTTTTCTTACCCACCTCAGCTCCTAGGTCATAAATTTCAGACATTGGTCTGTGACTAACTTGGGTCATTATTAATTACTAGTGAATTGCCTGTCAAGAATGAATTTCAAATAACAAAAACAGATTTTACTTCTTATATTTATTAAATTTTTTTTTTAATAAAACTTAAATAAAATAGGCTGAACTTTGAAGAGACCAATCCCTTTCTGCACTTGCTCTCATCCAGCGGTCTGGAGGCACACCTCTTTGCTGGGCAAGGCCTGGTGAGCTCCGCGCCTCGCAACAGTTGCCCATGCCCCAGGGCTTCCTCTGTGCCACCCCTGGGCACCTCCTTCCCTGCTCAGGACTCGGGACAAGGCTGCTGCTGCTCGCCCACTGCCTCGCGCCTCTGCCCGGCTCCCACTTTTCCTCAGCTGGTCCCTCCCTCTGCCCTCCCTGCCGCACTGGTCTCCTGGCACCCTCCCAGGAGGAGCTCAGTTTAAATAGCCCAGGCCCCCGACTTTTTTCCTAGTTCTGGAAGTTGGGATCAGCCTGATGTGGTCACTAATAGGGTGGCCATCAAAGAGGACTTTCCGGTTTTCTGCTACTCTGTCCTCTATTGATACGAAACCCGACACCTTTATGTCTTCTATTTTTCTCTTCAAAAGAGGACACAGAGGACAACTGTCCTCTGTGATGGCCACCCTAGTCACTAAAAACATGCTAAGGTTTAGCAAACAAATTTCTCTGAAGACAAATGTTCTGTCTTACAGTTTTCAAGCTATTCGCATTTAAAGAGGGTTATGGGCAAACAGACAGACTAAGCCCTTTATATATAGAGATTATAGTTTTTTGCATTGTCACAGCATCTAAGAGCCATAATCTTAGACCAAGTCCCCACTGTATTAGGTGCTGTAGAGATACAGGAGAAAAAAGTGGTTACTGCTCTGAGGAGCTTACAAGTATAACACAAAAGATAACAGATGGCCATAGACAGTCAAGGGAATATAAGGAAACAATGCCACAGTACTGGTCAGCACTGTAGGCAATGTTTTCAGTACACCAGCAGCCTAACAGTTGTTCAGTTTTGTAAGCCACATGTCAAGAAACTTGTTTTCTGAGCCATTTGAAAGAAAACTGTGCAGTGGTTTTGTGGATGTCTTGGTAAAGCTCCTCCCAGGTATTAGGAGCAACACAGGGGACAACAAAACAGTGTTTGTTTTGCAAATAGGAAATGGGAGCTCAGTGTTTGGGTAAGATAGTAGGTAAGAAGAGGTACATTAGGAGGGGCCTTAAAGTGAAGGTAAGTCATGTATATTCAGTGTAATAGAGAAGGGGAAGTTTGGAGGGGGGGTGCAGAGAGAAGGGAGATGTAGTCAAACTGATGAGCCAGGAAAGGAGTTTTTGGGCTGGATGAATGTTAACTGGGCAGCCAAGGCTGGAAGAAGGGATATTTGTAGTAAATCAGATGCAATATGACAATAGTATAGACAACCAGTCCGACTGCTATGAACTATAAATGAATTACAACACTTGTAGATAAGGTTCCTTGGGTGAATTTGATATCTTTTATTAGACCAACCCAAATGGTTGGAGAATAGTTATTAAGCAAGTTTTCGGGTTCAAAAACCCTTCGTCAGGCTAAGGAAGTTTCAGCAGTTGGTGTGTGCTCTTCCTGGATGGAATGAAAAGTAAAGAAGCCAGGGGCTGGGCTGGGCTGGGGAGTCAGTTGCCAGGCAGATTATAATGTATCAAAAATCCAATGTCTATGTTTAGTCCCTGATCTCTAGTATCCAGCAGGTTGATGAAATGGAGCTCATAGGCTCGTCTCTGGGATGTGTTGTGTAAGTTTCCCTTGAGGATCAGGACTGAGAGATTGGAGAGAGAGTGGCCCTCCTGTGAGAAATGTGCCCCCACCGGTAATTGGGTGTTTCTGTCTTTGATAGATTTCCAGTGTGCGTTCATTCTGGTGCGCAGTTGTTGTTTGGTTTCTCCTACGTATCTTCCATCAGGGCATTTGGTGCATTGGATGAGGTGTATCACATTTCTGGAGGTGCAGCTGTAAGATCCGGGGATGCTGATGGCTCTGTTGTGGGGTGTAGTATTAGTGGGGGGGTGGAGATGTGTTGGCAGGTTTTGCATTTCTTGTCCTGTCACGGTCTGGATCCTTT